CAAAAGTGCTTTCTCTGTACAACTCTTGCTAATTTGTTCTCAGATAATACGAATCACGAGTGTTAATGAAAGTATTAGTGACCTTCCATAGCTCATCTGTGTAGAATGACAACATTCTCGCTTCATTCTTCGGTAATATATATCTTTCTCGCGCATGCAGTGTTGAAGCCATTGCCTTGCCGATGGATGTGACTGATACTTCTGAGCAGCCTGCGAAATCATCCAAAGATGAACCTGATTTTGATCCAAGCAGAAGTAAGTTACCTGTTAATCAATTAATTATTGTTGGATCAAGTTTATATCTGTTTGATTTTGGTCTTTACTTTTGCTTTGCAACTTAAGATTTATCAGTTTATCTTTCAAGTTGCATCGAAGTAGTGATAACCTGTAATGACATTAGGTGTCAGAGAATAATATCTTAATATCGAAATTCTCGATATATACATTACCCGAATCAATGATTTAAAAGCGCTAGGTGCCAAAAGGCGTTAAGGTCCAAAAACTCCCGAGGCGCTAGGCGCTCGCCCGACCGAAGCGAGGTGCTAAAATATAAAAATATATAATATAATTAATAAATATAATTATTTAAAATTTTAAATAAAAATATATCATTAAATTAAGAAAATCTAAGATACAAAATCATAATGTCACATTAACAAAAAGTTTCAAAATTCAAAATAACAATAATTTCAAATAAATAAAATTTAATAGTATTAAAATCAAAATAATATATTATTAATCTATTAACAGTATTAAAAATTAATAATTTCAAATAAACATAACAATATTAACAGTATATAGTATACTGTTAACAGTATACAGAAGGAGAAGAAGGAAGAGTGTAAGAGGGTGCTGACTGCTAATTGAGAAAAGAGGAAGCGGCAACGGCAGTGGGAGCCGGAGCGGGAGTGTAAGGAGGCAGCGGCAGCGGGAGAGTAAGGAGGCGGCGGCAGCGGGAGTGTAAGGAGGCAACGGCAGCGGGAGCGGGAATGTAAGGAGGCAGAGGCAACGACAGCGGGAGTGTAAGGAGGCAACGGCAGCGGGAGCGGGAATGTAAGGAGGCAGAGGCAGAGGCAGCGGCAGCGGCAGTGTAAGGAGGCAACGGCAGCGGGAGCGGGAATGTAAGGAGGCAGAGGCAGCGGCAGCGGGAGTGTAAGGAGGCAGTGGCAGCGGGAGTGTAAGGAGGCAGCAGGAGCGAGAGTGTAAGGAGGCAGCGGCAGCGGCGAGCAGTCGGAGGCGCGAGAGTGTAAGGAGGCAGCGGCAGCGGCGAGCAGCCGGAGGCGCGAGCGGCGACGGCGGCAACGTTTGCGAGCAGCGACAGTGGCGAGCAGCGGGATCAGGATCGGGAGCGGCAGCGGCAACGAGGGTTAGGGTTGGGTTATCGTTGATATCGGTTTTAGTTGGTTCGATTGAACCAACTAACCACCGAAGACTGAACCATACCTAAAATCCTAGTTTGATCGCCTGGTTTAACCCAGGCGCTCGCCCGAAGCGCCCAGCGCTTGGGCTCGGGTGAGCGCCCAGGCGGCCCCTCTTTGAAGCGTGCCGCCTGGAAGTTTAGCGAGGCGCTCGGGCTTCGCCTCGCCTCGCCTGAGCGCCTAGGCGAGCGCCCGAGCGCCTTTTTAAATCGCTGACCCGAATGGCTAATTGTTTACCTCGGCTTCACACCTTCATATAAAGCGATAAATCTCTCATCAGGTACCTTCTTTAGACAAGGATGGAATGCTCTCATAGTCTCTGAAGGAAAATTGCAAGATCTGCTTGCTCCTGTAGAATTGGAATCATGTTAGTCTACCTTGTTTTTTCTTGCATAGGATCATAAAGCCATGGGAAGTCAAACATGCAATATGATTTCATCTCCAAGCCCTAAAGTCCTAGCTGGTTTTGGATCTTGACGCAATATGAGATTTTCTTCATTAGGGTTCGTGTGTCAAATGGAGTATGTTAATTTATCATTGTAAATTCTTCTGAAGAAAATGAAAGAGCATTTGTTGCAAACAGTTTATGTTATGGAAGAGCATCTGTTGTTTCTAGGGTATATTTAGCTTTGTAGGTGTGAATGGTTGCCAACCTGTTACATGGTAGACCAAACTATTGGTCTTTGATTGGAACAAAAATCTTTTCAGTTATACATACTAAACTGCCTCATGGCAAAGACAGTCTTTTAAATTGTTTTCTGGGAACCTTTTGCATTACATATATATTCTTATAAGTGTAAAGTTCTCCATTATGTGTTTTTTTTATATATATAACAGTGATTGGCATCATCAAGAGGAAAGCTTTGATAAAAGAACTTGCTGCTGCTTACCATGCTGAGTGTCTTGCCTGCTGCCAGAAACTTCTACAACTTCAAAGAAAATGGGAAGAGGTTGAATCCGACTTAATTTTTACTTTGATCAGCGTACTTGCTTTTGTTAACAGCCATCATTTGTATATACTAAATTGTCAACACCATTTAAAAATTTTCTTGTAAGGATTATAGATCGGTACATGTTTCCATTTGTCATTTCTTTTAAACCAGCTAAAATGACAAGATATATATTAGTTGCAAATATGGTATCTACCGAACTAGCTTCTCTATTAAAAGAAATCAATTTATGAGTGGGCTCTTGTTTCATTTCGGAGAATTTTTAAGCACATGGAAAACATTCAATCCAACTTCATGGAAACTCTGATCTCTAATGAAAGCTCCCTACCACTCCATTATCTGATCTTCTCATCTGTGTTGGTTACCCACACTGATTTACTTAGTTCCTATGCCTTGGAGGAGTTATTCCACAAAGTTGCTGGGATTAAACTCTATAGATGGGGTTCCAGAAACTATGATTCATTCTTCTAGCATATTTTAGTTTATGATGCACACACTGTATGTTGTCTTTGAACTTCTAAAATATACTTTGCATTTCTTTTCCTTTTTTTGTGAAAAATTGAGTTTATTGATTAAAAATCAGAGTAAATTTCGCGAGCGTTAATTTGGTTTTTACGTTTTCTTCTTGGCTCATCTGGTTATTTTCTTATATTCTCTTGTGAGCCCTTTAGTGTCTTATAACTTAATATGCTAAATTGCAGTAGCAGTTGCTTGTCTCACTTCATTTGCAGTATCAATTGGTAGTGGGTCTGGTTTCGTTAAAGTCTTGAAGGTATATGAGGTTGTAGTTATTTTCTTCATTTTTATTTTTTCTTCCTTTTGTTTCTTTTTGTTTCAAAAGGTGTTCATTTTGAGGGTGTTAAGGGCAGACTTGGAAGCATACAAATGAACCCGCGATAGCAGTTTTCTGTGAGAAAATTTGATTACGGTGGTTCTATTATAATCTTTCCAGGCCATTTAATTCCTGTATCATCTACTAATTCATCTCTATGTTGTTTTGAGCCCCACAGTGAGTTATTGAAGAAAATTGTGTGTTTATTTTCAGAGTGCTTTGGTAATAATGCTGGTTTTGCATTCTTTGTGGTTTCTAAATTCCTGTGGTTGATCTGTTTCTTCAGGAACAGCAGTATATTAAAAGAAAAACTCCTCAGGAGTCCGGAAAGCATACAACGAAGCCCTCTAAACGTCCAAAGAAGGGGATGTAGAAAATATTGTCTCAATCTTGTATCTGCCCCCATGTTCTCTCTTCCACAGATTTCCTCTTCTTTTGAACTTAGCATATTACATAGATGATATGTTCATGACATGCAACACAGCCACTGACTGATCCTTCAACAAGAAGCAATGTCATGGTGATGCTTAAAAATCTGTCTAGTTTTTGATGTAGGTTTCTTCTTCTTGAAACTCGAGTGTCGACAGCTGTCTTTTGTGGGCAACAATGATCTTAATCTCTATTGTACTATTCTTCTTCCTGAGGTCCTCCCATATTTTTTTTCTTCATGGAAAAATAATATTTCAGATTCAATTAGTTGCATTTGAGGAGAATAACACTTGAAATAATTATGTTATCTTCATGTGTAATCTGTGTCTTATATCTAATAATTTATAGAACTTAACGAATCGGAAAATTTCTTATATGATACTAATCATCCTTAAAAAGAAATGAACAAGAATCAATTCGTGAGATATATATATTTAAGACAACAAGTGCTGCATTTTATGTAAAATTCCCAGTGATTGTCTTAAACCAACATCTACACGAAATCCATAATGGCACATAAAATCTGCACCAAAGATTAAAAACAGTGAACACAGAGAGAGAGAGAGAGAGAGAGAGAGAGAGAGGGAAGAAATATTGCTATTTTGATTAGCAAAATGATCTTTTGATAATGCCAAATTAGGAAATATTGATAAATGGAATGATATTGTAATATAACGAGACATGGATTTGCTTAGATGTCAATATATAAAACAAATGATTTGTTTCCAATGTTGAAGATTCAAAAGCAGTATTGTCAACGTACCATTTTTCGTGATCTCTAAGCTTGAAAAGACCGCACAAGACAAAAAGAACATCGACTAACAGTGTCGGTTGGACCAAACCTTAGAACTGTGTGTAGCAATGTGTTTTGTTGGTGAATATTTGCAGTAAATGCTATGGAAAACAAGAGAAGTGGGGCGGCTTGAATTAGGTGTCAAACAACCCTATCAATCAATAGGAAATTATATTACGGTGCTTCATCTTCTCCAAGTCTTCCTTTCCTTCCCCTTGTGTCAGTGAGGTTGAGGTAAGTCATGTGGCCAGGAGAAGAGCGGCGGCCAGGCGGCTCTTGGAAATTGGCAGCAGTCACTTGTCTGATCCATCCTTCTCTGCATCTGTTCCACGATGGCAGATGGAGACTTTGGCCTCACCCCCTCCATCTTCTTCTAATGATGCAGCGTGCCAAAGAATAATGTTCGTCTGTGTTGACTTTGGTTCGATGTGATAAACATGCTTGTGCTGGTGATGGTTGTCTTCGGTTCTTTTGATGGATTGTTTGGAAAGCCACACGATAATAGACTTTGTGTTAGATCTGCACATTCAAGTTAGAGAACAGTCGGCCACACACACCTCATCTTTTTCTTCTCAGACCACTATAAAAGCTCCTCCTCTTAAGTCATCATGTACGTACGCTTGCTTTCCTTTGCTCGAATTTAGGAGCTTGGAGGAGAGTTGGAGATGGAAGGGAAAGAGGAGGATGTGAGGCTCGGAGCAAACAGGTTCTCAGAGAGGCAGCCGATAGGGACGGCTGCCCAGAACCAGGAAAAGGACTACAAGGAGCCACCTCCGGCTCCACTGTTTGAGCCAGCAGAGTTCTTCTCCTGGTCCTTCTACAGAGCTGGCATCGCAGAGTTCATGGCCACCTTCCTCTTCCTCTACATCACCATCCTCACTGTCATGGGCGTGGTCAAGTCCACCACCAAGTGCTCCACCGTGGGCATCCAAGGCATCGCCTGGGCCTTTGGTGGCATGATCTTTGCCCTCGTCTACTGCACCGCTGGGATCTCAGGTGAAGCAACCGCTTCCTTTGTCTCTTCCCTTTGTGACTTCAGATTGCAGCAACGCCCACACCGAGCTCTTCCAAGTTGTCAGGTGGCCACATCAACCCGGCCGTGACCTTCGGGCTGCTCCTGGCGAGGAAGCTCTCCCTGAACCGAGCTCTCTTCTACATGGTGATGCAGTGCCTGGGTGCCATCTGCGGTGCTGGTGTGGTGAAGGGGTTTCAGAAGGGGCTCTACCAGAGCAATGGTGGCGGAGCAAACGTTGTGGCCGCTGGCTACACCAAGGGTGATGGCCTGGGTGCTGAGATTGTTGGCACCTTCATCCTTGTCTACACTGTCTTCTCTGCTACTGATGCCAAGAGGAACGCTAGGGACTCTCATGTGCCTGTAAGAACTTTCATCGCCCATCCTCACCAAAACTTCTTTCTCTGGCTTCCGACAAAGACATACCTGTGAATTTGTGCAGATCCTCGCCCCATTACCTATTGGTTTTGCCGTATTTCTTGTTCATCTGGCCACCATCCCCATCACCGGCACTGGCATCAACCCTGCAAGAAGCTTTGGAGCTGCAGTTATCTACAACAAGGACCATGCTTGGGATGACCATGTAAGTCTGTTCTGTTCCAGAGCTTCTCTGACTCAGTTTGGATGGGATTCCCTTTCTCATTTCATCTTTTTTCTCAGTGGATCTTCTGGGTTGGACCATTCATCGGAGCTGCTCTTGCTGCCCTCTACCACCAGGTGGTGATCAGGGCAATCCCATTCAAGAACAGGACCTGAGCTACCCTGTCAAGTTCTCATGGCCTCTCATGCTGTGGCCACTGCTATGTCTCTTTCATCTATCATGTTTGTGGATTTCCTCCACCAGGGTCTTTTCAGTTTGGTCATGAAGAAAGATTAGGTGATGAAACAGGACCATCTAAGAAATAAATCCAAAATATTATGATCATTACACAAGGTGACAGGTAGTTAACTTGGTGCCATCATGGAACAGCACTGATGTTACCTGCAACAAAGGTTTCTTGGGCAGGATGGTAGTGCACTTCTGTGCTAACTTTGCTGGTTCCCTTGCATGTCCATCTTCTATCAAGACAAGAGTCTACTTTGGCTTTAGGCCATATCAGGTAAGTCTCCTCTTTGTTTGGCCAAGCTCTCCCAGTAAAAGCCAGTTCATGAGTTCTATACATATATATTCCCCATACCAACTAACATAAAATCTTTGGATGGATGTTAATGAGATGGATATATGTAAGGAATCCTGATCTTTAGGATAATTTGGAAGGTCAATTACACAATTTCTAAAGTTTGTAATGATCTATATTTTTTTAGATTTATTATAATATTTAAGTCTTATCGGTCGGATGACATAACTTCATATTTATTACTGACGTTAATCTTATGTCGACGGAGGCAAATAAATTATCACAAACTAGGTTAACTTTATAATTTAAAATTTACATTATATATTAATAATGATGATGATTAAAGAAACATAATGAGAAGATAATTGAAAACTTTGTTGCTTAGAAGTTGCCCGACATGAGTACACAAGATCAAATCAGCGATCACTGTTCTTTTTGCCTTTGGTTGGAGTAAGCTTTCCCTAATTTCTCGTAGAGTATGAGTGGGAAAGAGACTTCCTCCAAGGTGGCTTTCAACACCCATTATCTCACATAGCTAATTAAACAATCATGTATTTTTTACAAATATGATACTATAGATTTTTAAGTAACAATAGATGCATGTCATATGACAATCTGACAATCGAGGGCTTGTTGGGATATTTAACAAATTAGGGATATAAAATATATCTTTTCACTATGTTATATTATGACTATTGATAAATATAAAATTAATAATTAATAGAAAAAATAATATTGATCAATGTTCTATGATGTCTAAGTTGAAAGAAGGAAACAAAAATTATCCCTCATCAATTACCCATGTGGATGAGTTTAAAATAGATAATTATATATTGTCTTTATCCTTTGTCACATACGAAGAGAAGAAACTAAATTGAGATGGGTAGTTTTAAATTATCCTCTCGAAGAATATTTCATAAAATAATTTATTTATTTACTATCATGTATAAAAAATATTTTTAATATAGTTAATAAGTCACTATTTTACTATTGACAATTGCACCTGTCTATCTTAGGTTACTAATTTGGATATCAAAGGGACAACGTCAAGAAACCTCTCATGACCTCGATTTTTATATAAGTGGTACTTCGGAGCTTAGTGTCTTCACCTCAGAGGCATCTCAAACAATCCTATACATATAGATTTGAACTATATCGAACTAACCAGGATGTCAATGATATCTTATCGTAATATTTTTATAATTAGAAGGAGAGCCCGATGTCATAGAAATGCCCACATGCTAATCATCTTAATGAACACTCGAGTGAAGAAGCCTTGCATTCAACCCACAATACTTTCACTCAAGAGAGTAGAAACTATCCTCTTTCACCAAGGGGGTAGCAACCATCCTATCACTTTTTCAAGAGTGATAGGCTTCTCGTCTCTTTTATTTGTTGATAAAAAGATCACTAGTGATCATACGTGAGATACTTCAAATGGTTAATCAATACATTACTGCTGTAGCAATAATCTTAGGCAAGCATGAGGAGTCACACAATACATTACCTGAATGACTTCTTTGGAGTTCACTAGCAACTATATCTCATCTCTCGGGACTGAACTTGCACATCACATTTGGAGGTGAGTCCTGCTCTAAAATAATATTGATGGTGGTGGATATTCCCTTGGTGTATAACGTGATCATAGATTGACTTTCAATGAATAAACTAAGGGTGGTGGTGCCACTCAATAGGTCCATATGTTAGCTAGGATAATACATTCAATCATCCCCCTCGTTCCAGCTTAATTCATGACAACTACAACCCCTTAGTAGATGACACGTCCTCCAATGCTAGCTAATATGCCTAGGCTGGCCATGAAGCCTATAACTCCAAAAATGCTAGCTAATATGCCTAGGCTGGCCATGAAGCCTATAACTCCAAAAATATCAATGATCGATCGATAATCAAGTGAGCAGGGCTTCGCAATATCCCACTATTAAGGTTAATAGACTAGACTATCCTTAGTCGTCAACACTTGAATTAGAGGTTTAATCGTTGGACTCTAACAACTACACTATATGAGTGCATATCTAGAACAGTGCTTTATAGACATACATCAAAAGTTTCATTTGCAAAAAATAAGAATCTATGAGGTTTTGCCTTGGCCAAATCCCCTTTTATCTATAAGATTAAGGAAGAATCAATCCCCCAAGCTTTCGATTGCCTACTTTTTGTATCCAAATAACACTTTATGATATATTAGATACCTTAATGTGTCGTATCTTTTCACAAAACACGCAAAGCACCACCCACTAGTGGTATTTTTATCTTAAACCACTCTTAGTGAACTCCTTTACTTAAATTACCAAGGAGTTCAAACATCAATTTGTCAAGGACATGCATCTCAAACATATAATTAGTGTTTTACTTACAATCAAACATCCCGAAGAAAAGATACTAGCAAACTTCATCACTAAATTCATGAATACGACTTAAGAAATCACTTACACCCCTTGATCCTCATGATTCATGTTTAAGCTAAGACTCTAGATTCTTCTCATCTTAATTGAAAGTCAATTGACCTCTCTATATGAGATAATATAATATCAGTATATCACAATCAAAATGTTAGTCTTGAGGAATCAAGGAAGCACGCTTGAAGTTGAGTATAATTATATAAATCCCATAGGGCATAATTATGTCAATATCTTATCTAAACATAATGTCCTTCTAATCAAATTTCTTAAAATAATATCAATTAAATTAAAGTTAAAACTTATATTAATTTAATCCAAATTTGATAAGGAAGAATAATCTGTGGATAACTTAATGATATGCTATTTTAACAAAAATATTATTGAATTCAACCATGAAATATCAACGAATGATGCAACTAAATTTGGTTGTGATGTATCCACTAACAAATATAATTAAATTTGATCTTGACAAATCTGACCATGTAATGTTCCTAACAATAATGTAACATCTCTCAATAATGATAAAATCAAATTCAGTTAAGAAGCATCCCTTAACAATGATGTGGCCAAATCCATTCTTAACAACAACACGACTAAATTTGATCATTAAGCATCGCTCAATAGTGATACGATCGATCTCACCATGAAGCATCCCCTAATAATGATATAGTTGAATTCAACCATGAAGCATCCCTTAACTACAATGCAACCAAATCCGGTCATGAATTGTCCTCTAATAATGATACGATCGAATTCAATCATAAAACATCCCATAATAATAGAGTCCAACCATACAATATCACCGGACAATAATACAACTAAGTTTGATCATGAAGTATTACTTCGACAACTATACAACTAAGTTTCAGGTATGATAATGTTTAGAACGAAGGACTAAGCCAATTTACTGATTATATGTAATATTGTGTCCCGACTCTTTTTATGTGTCGAAATATAACAATGAGGTAGATGACGAGAGAGAGTAATACATAGGTATCCTAATGACATATCACTCTATCGATCCAACACTTAATGCCAACACTTTTAATGTTAGCATGAGCCATCGTACTATAATTATAATATTTGATGATTCAACAAACATCTTTATATGACTCAATAATGATTGATAATTTTTATATAATCATCTTACAAACTATATAAATTCAATTATTATCAGACTCACCGTAAAAGATGCCTCCAAGGACATCCCTAAAGATATATAAGAAAATTATATGATTTCTAATCCTAAATCTTTTAAATCATTATTAACTTAAAACATTGAAGGGGTTTTTATCGGGTATCTCAAATATCTCATCTCATTGATGTTAGAAATGTGACGAGTTTGGAAATTAGAATAATATTGGATACGAGTTCCTACCCTATCAAATAATTAAAATATTAATTAATAAAATTAAATGGATAAAAAGGGTTAGTACTAAAAATGGGGTAAATATTAGACTTTTTTTTCATGATAATAGCTCAAAATTAGTGTTTATGAAGATGGAAGGTAATATGTTTGAAGATATGAATAAAATTGCAAACTTTTAGGTGTATATATAGTATGAAAATACAATTACTTTATGGGATTATTAACCAACTAAGGGTACTCTTGTTATTTTAGAAGAAGTAAGATGAGACAAATCCACGTGTCGGCATTCTTCTGATGGGGGATGTATGACGTAAGCTGCATCGCCTCAGTACGATATTGTTACCCCAAGATAAAGAAAATGTATCTCTCTCTCGGGTTGCATAGATAAATAATCCCTTCTCACTTCAACGCAGTGTAATATAAGAATATCTGGGAGACTCGTATCATGTCTCTCTCTTTTATATATATATATATATATATCGGCTTTCCATCCTCTCTCTGGATGCCGATTTTGATCGCTAGACCATGAAATATTGATCGCGCCGCTTCGCGCTTCTATCACGCCGTCGCCTGAGTAGCGATTGAAACCTTCGCCATCGATTCAAGGTTCCTGCACTCCGCCTGGGCTTCTCCTTGTTCTTCTTGATCGAGATCAATCGTGTCTCCTGCAGAGGGACTCCGATCGGGGGTTCCGGTTCGGCCTGGAGGAGCACGTCCGTGGCCACCTCGACGGCAGCATGACCGCCGCGCTCACTTCCTCCTCCTCCTCCTGCGCTGGCTTTTGCGACGACGACGACGACGGCAATGCCTCCCCCATAGCCGCGGCCGACCATCTCGCTGCCCGCAGCGCTGAGTCCTCGGCCTCTGATCGTCGTTATTCGCGGGATTTCAGCCGCTGGGTCGCGCGCCAGGCGGAGGAGATGATCATCAACATCGAACGGCGGAACCGCGAGTCGGAGCTCATGGCCATCGCCGGCCTCCACTTGGTGTCGATGCTCGATCCTTCCTTCCTTAGGGAGTCCGGCA